CATCCAAGGTGTTCATCAACATCAACAGCAAAAATTAAACTGCTGCTCAGCAGCCTCGGCTCCTCCTGAAGCAGAGATCCCATGGCAATAGATGGATTGCTCTCACCATTGAATCCTCCCTTCACAAGTCTTCAAACCCGTGTTGCTTCTCTTTCCTTTGCATGTCTTTTAACAGACATGTCTAACCCCGTTGCAAGGCTGGATGCAGGAGTCAGATGCAAGCACCCACCTGAAGATTCCAAACTCTCCTGGGATTTTGCCCATTGAAAGCAGCGGTTCAGGCTACTGCAGTCATTTGCCTTGCAAAAAATAAACCCCAACCCAACCAACAGCCTCCAGAAGCTTCAAAATGCCAATTTGCTGTTGTCTGCTGGGTGCTCTTCCAAAAGAGAGTGAGTAATGCTAAAGCTCTTTTTTTTTTCTCCTGCAAAGGAGGTGGGCAGTAGAGGATCACACAGATACAGAAGCAGCTCAGTCACCCAGGAACAGCTAACTCAGAAACTGGCAGAGCTTAGTCATCTATTTAAAACTTGATATTGTAATGACTATTTCCACCTCCAAAGCATATTTCCCCCCCCCCCCCCCCCCCCCAAATAATCTCTCGGCTGTTGTCTAACCCAGGTTATTAATTACTGGTGCCCTCTCCTTAGGTGAAGGAGGGAATCCTGTCTCAAACCCATGTCCAGTGGGGGAAAGGGGATGCAGTTTGGGGACAAGGCACATTCACCCCCATCTCACTCACTGGGAGCTCAGCGGGTGGCTGCACAACCAGGGAGATGTTGACCAGCTCGGACCACTGCATTAGAGGCTGCGCTGAGAAATGTTTCAAGTCTGGAGCAAACACAATGTTCATTTCTTGCCATCTCTGAGCACACTGTTAGGCTAAATGGTTGGGTTGAGTAGCTTTGCTCTAAAACCTGGCCTCAGTTTCCTCTCTGATGCCAGCAGTCCTGTCTACCCCTTGTGTGAAACTGGAGTCACACACAGTTACCAGCTCGCTGCAAAGCAGGGATCAGGGCGAGGAGGTGACTCCCAAGAAGGGCCCAAGTACAAACAGAAGTGGTGCATCCTATGGAGGGGGTGTTGGGTACCTCAGAGCTCAGCAGCAGCCTCCTCCTTACAAAGAATGATGTTCATATTCTTCTCATCTTCCTGGCTAGAGGTTTTCCTTGTTTGGCAGAGGGTCCTCATACGTGACATGCAGGCTTCACTGGTCATCACGTAGAGCAGGGGGTTGAGGGCACTGTTGAAGCTGGCCAGGCCCCGTGTCACCTGGTAAGAAAGGTAGATATTCTTTACAGCCTGTGTGCAGGACCCTTGCAGCTGCCAGCCTCGAGACAACAAGTTGAGGTTTCTGAAGATGTGGTAGGGGAGGAAGCAGATGGAGAAGAGGATCATCACAAGAATCGCCAGACTGATGCTTCTTCTCCTGAGGCTGAGGTTCACAGTGTCATTCCTGCAGAGCACCACCACCACGTGGCAGTAGCATCCGATGATGATAAGGAACGGCATGACGAACCCAGTCACGGTGATGGTCATGGTGTACGGCAAATAAACACCCAGGTGCTCGTGTTCCGTTGTGTCGTGGCACCGTGTCCCCGTGTCATCCACCTTGCTGAAGGCAAAATCTGGAGCTACCTGTGCGATGACCCACACCCAGACCATCGCGCTGAGCCACGCTGAAAGGGTTGTCCCATAGCACCAGCCCCGTGCCTTCAGCGGATGCACGATGCCCACGTACCGGTGGATGCTGATGCAGGTGAGGAAGCCGATGCTGGCGTAGAGGTTGAGGTGGAAAAGGCTGCGGGTGATCCGGCACCAGCCCTGCCCAAAGAGCCACACTCTGCCCCGCAGGTAGTAGCTGACGAGGAAGGGCAGCGTGCTCACGTACAGCAGGTCAGCCAAGCCCAGGTTGCCAACCAACAAGTCGAGGGGCTGTCGGGCTCCGCGCCGGGCCCTGGTGCAGAGGTGCCCCAGCCCCAGCCCGTTCCCCACCAGCCCCAGGGCAATCACCACCAGGTAGGCGGTGGGCAGGAAGCGCTGGGCGAAGCCGGTGTCCACGGAGCACAGGGTGCCATTGCCGGGCCACCGGGGGGGAGCCTCCATGGCCGTCGGGCGCTGCGGCGGGGTGGCCGCTGCCGGGTCGAGGTGCCGGGGCCAAGCGGAGCCCGTCGCCCTGGGCGGAGCGGCCCCGGCGTGCCCGGGTGCGGGCTGGGGCTGCCCCGCTCCTTCCGGCCCCGCTCCGTGGCGCAAGGGCTCGGCCCCGGCCGATGTGGTGAGAGCCGCCCCAGCCCAGAGCTCCTGCAGCGCCCTCGGCCCCGGCCGCAGCTCCACGGGAGATGTTGAGAGCCAGGGACCGCAGGGCTGCGGCTGCTCGGGCTGCAGCGCCCGGAGGCAGCGGGAGGAAGGGAGCAGGGAAGGGGCAGAGCGGCTTTGCCTCGCAGCGGGTGGGAGCTGTGTGCTGCGGGCAGCAGAGCTTTCAGCCTGCTTCTGATCTGTCACGCTCAGCGTGAGCAGAACCCACCCCCCATTCCGCCAGACCAGGGCTGGAAGCCTGCACCCCATGAGCCACCCCTCATTTTGAGATAGGGGAATCTCAAGATTTAAACCTTGTTGCTGGTTGGGCAATTAGTTTGCATCGTTAATGTAATTAGTGATAATATACCTTAATCGCATTGTTAGTGCAACCTAAGGGTTAACAAAGCACGGGACCTAATGCTCATGAAGAGTTAGGTACATCTGTAACTCTTGAGATACAATCAGCTAATCCGAGGGGAGACTGAGCAGAGCAAAGGAAGAGAACAGCTGGAAACCAGCGTTGTGGTCTGGGCACCATCCAAGAGCAGCTGAGCCTGCCTGAGGCCAAAAGGTTACTTGCGGTGACAAAGATGAGCCCTTGGCCTTCATCCCCACGACCCTCTACGACCACCACCAAAAAGCACTGCGCAAGCACAGTGGGAGGAGTTTATGGAAACGTTAATTATCATACGAAGTGGGGACAGGTCATTAATATGTATAGGTGATCTCATGAATATGTAACCACAATGCTATATACATTTGGAGGACGGGCGGCTATGGCACACACAACCTTGGTGGGATACCCCCGTGCCGCCCAGGGCTGATTAAACATACCTGCTTTACAACCTTTATTGGCTGATGGTTGTAAAGCCCTTTCCCTGCACGTCAGTTTCTCGCTGGAGCTGTTGGAGGCACACATGCAACAGCATGGTTCCCCTCTCCTGCCTGCCTTATGCGTTTAAGCTGTTTGCTTGCCCCATGATTTCACTCACAGTAGAGGTGCTATCACCCTTATCCGTATCAGGATGCTCCCCTCGGGTACCAGCTCCTTGCATGCTGCAGTGTGAAAGCACAGGGCTGGGATGGCTCCTGCAGGTAACCTGAGCAATAGGCAACCAATTCACGACTCTTCACCAACAGCAGAACAACGGGCCTTAATCTACCTTTTTTTTGTGAGCACTGCACTGTGCTCAGGGAGGTATCTGCAAATGTTTAGCTTTATCCAGGGGCTCATCCAGCCCTTCTCAGCCAACTCCAGGCATTTAAAAATCATCAGTCAGGAGAATGGCTTGGAAAAACCCATACTGATGCGCATTGTTTACTCATGCAGCACTGCACAGTTTCTCCTTCAGCTGCTGTGCCTTCTTGCACTGAAATGAGCTGTGATGTGTTGCTCACTGGTGGTTCAGGAATATGGTTGTCAAATTACATGCTGTTTATGTGTGCAGATTTGGCAGCTTCCCTCGAGAACACGGGTGAGTTCTCTTCTGGTTTGGGTTTTTTTTTCTCTTTAGGGTGACCATGATCACCTGGGGATGGCAGAGTATTTATCTGCTGCCCCACAAGAGCAGGCAAAGCCCAGGTCCCGCTGCGTCAGAGGCTGCAATAACTACATGTTTCCAGGGTAGCAGAGCTTTAGAGAGAACAGCAAATATTGTGAGACTGGCAATCAAATTGCAAGAGCTGATTTTCCTGCATTCTTAGGGAAAAAAAGAACTCTGATTTATTTGGATTCATTAATTCATTATTTAGATGTTTTCTGCTTAGTGAATCAGGGAGAAATGACGTTTTGGATAAAAGAAAAAAGGAAATTATAGCAGAGGTGTGTTGAGTCATTTCAGTTTGAGATGAGAATTACAGGTTGCTGCTTCAAAAACAACCTTTTGGTTTTTACCATCACCCAGAGGTGGCTGGGCAGGGTTTGGGAGGGGGTGTGAGCCCTGGCAGCATTCCCTGCCAGCAGCCTGTCCCATGTTTAAACAGGAGCTGGCTTAAACCCAGGTTCTTCAGTGCACAGAATGCATCTTATTCGTGTCAGCCCAGGAACACTGTGGTGTTAAAGTCTACCTGCCCCCTGTGTCACTGCTCTTTTGGCACAGCCATTGCAGAGGTGAGAAGTTAACAGAAGCTGCAGACCAGGCCACTTTCATCCTGTGATTTGTTGCCTGCCAAATACATATCTCCTGTATTAAACTGAGTTAATCATCTGTGTTCGGGCAGAGCACCAGATATCACAGTAAATAATTCTCTTTGTAAGCAAGCTCATGTGTTTTACTGCATGAGCAGTGGGGTATTTTTTCTTCCCCCACCCCATCCCCAAGAGGTGACTGAAAAGCATCCTTGACTTTCATTTCATTTTCAGCACTTGCAGGGGCTGGGGGAGCACGTGAGTGGCTGCCTTGGCCTTGATGCCTTTCCTGCTGCTTATGGGGAAGCTTTCCCCTGGCAGAAGAGGGGAGCTCCCACTGCCATTCAGCCTTTTGCCCCTGCACCCCCAAATCTGCCCTGGGATGGTGTTGGCTTGGGTTGGGATGGTGATGGTAGCGGCATGATCCCAGGGAAATCCTGGTCCAAGGTGAGTGCAGGAGGTGTGGGGCTGGTGGGAGGAGGGATGAGTCATAGGGAATTTGGGCTTTGGGTTTGGGGAGGCTGAGAAGACGCATGGCCTGGTCTGTGTGTAATGCAACCAGCACCATGCCATGCTCTCCTGTGCATCCCAGCACCGATGTGCGATGGGTTGGTCCTGTTGGCAGAGCTGGGTAAAAGCAAAGGGGCAGAATTTACTCCAAGTTATAATAGCCTACAATAATGTTTTCAGTGGTTTGATTCACATTTTTTTGTGTGTTTTCTTATTTTAAGCAGACTGAATTGAGGTGCCTCCGAGCTGTGCCCCATCCTGGCTCAGACCTGTCCTGCAGCAGCTGAGCTGGCCATGAGCAGTGGTGCTCCTGAGGGCTCACTGGAGCTGGTCTCACCCCCATGGAAAGCCCCAAACAAGCTCCACATCTGGATGAGCACATCTTTATTTTCAGTTCCACACGTATGAACTGTCCGTATCTCACCTGGACACATCACCTAAACCGTGGGTCCTTTTCAGTTGTCCTTGCCCTGCCGGGGGGGACAAATATTCCCTCCACGTGCTTGTGCGAGGCCGTTAGAGGGCATTTGGGTTTCATTTTTCAGTCACCCAGAGGGATTATCACTGTGAGAAAGTGAAGGCAGTGCTCCTGCGCCGACTCTTCCATAGCTGGAGCAGCTCCAGCCTCTCAGGAGATGGCCCCGACTCATCTTTATGAGTTGCTTTCTCTGTTTCCTGCTTTTCCCTTGGCTGTGGCTCGCAGGGATGTGCTTGGATGGCAGGAGCTACTTCTGCTGCTGCATCTCCTGTGTCTGAGCTCCTCACTCGCCAAAGCCCTGCCAAACCAACAGTGCTTTGGGGAGGAGGAGGCCGGACAGAGCAGGAAGGTCCGTGTTGATTCTGGAGAGATGTGGTGAATTAGAATGGAGGTGAATTAGAGCTGCAGGCAGGAGGGTGCTTCTGCCCATGCTTGGGAAGGCTGCTGCTGGGTGCAGGGTGGATGTTGTGGGATGGTTTAGTTCATGCATGGTTGAGCTGCTCAGCCTCGCATGGTGGTGAGTAGTGGTGTGCGGCTCCATGTACGTGCTCCATCCTTGGGGATTGGTCCCATGAGGGTTCCCCTGGGGATTTGGGCTTCCAGGTATTGGAGATGGTCTCTCTTGCATCCCCTGCAGAGCATAGCTGTGTGTGTGTGACATGGTGGAGCAGTAGCATCACTTCTCCAAAAGCACCACCAGGGTGGGAAAGGACCAATTCCTGGTTCCTCGGGTGGGTTCACACTCACTGCAGGGTTTCTCCATTTTCCATTTCATTCAGCCAAAGAAACTTGTGGATGCTGCCCAATAACCCTGCCTGGGGCAGCAGGGTGTGCAGAGGGGGTAGGTGCTGGGTGACATGGGGATCTTGTTCTCTATTTCCACCCTCCTTTGCAGCCAAAGTCCATCAGTTCATTCCCAGTTTCCCAAGGGACATATTCTCCATCTTCACCAAAACCACAGTGCCGTGGGCTTGTGCCAGACTCTTTGCCGGGATGAGATGTTGGCTCTGGGATGCAACTAGGGTGGGAACAGCTACAAATAACCTCTGTTTCCTCGCTGCAAAGGCAGAGCAGAGAGAGATAGGGAGATGGAGCGGCGTGGTGGTGTGTCCCCCATGTCTAGGGAGCAGGGGCATGTGGCAGTGCAGGTGCCTGGCTACAGAAAGCACTGGCTGCATGGAAGCAAGGCAGGTTTGCACCTTGTCTGCGCTGGGGCTGTGCCTGGCTAGTTAAAGGGGTGGCAGAGCCACCTCTCAGGTGTACCCAGGGAGCCAGGCAGGGGTTACAAATGCATATCTGGCCATAGGGGAGGTTGAGCTCACCGGTGTGGCTCAGGGTTCTGTGGGATCCACAGTGCTTTTGGATTCAGACATCCAGAGACCTCAGAATTCACGTCTGCCCCTGCCAGCTGTTGTTTTCAAGGTTCAGGAGATGGTTTATCTGTCCCTGAGGTCTGGTCGGGTCACGGCTGAGGAGGGGTGATGAGGTGCCCACAGGTAGCTGGGGGTCCGATGCCTCATGTTGCCTGGCATTTCCCTTTCTCAGGGCACCAGCTTCACCAAGGCCCTCACTTACCACTGGGGATGCTGCCGGCAGAGCCGGGCAGGGTCTGGCCATGCAGAGCCGCCTCTGAGTCTCCAGCCTGCAGTAGCGGTTCTGGTTGGAGACGCGGGTAGAAAAGCCCATGCCGCAGGTGGCTGAGCAGGCGCTCCACTCCGTGCCCCACTCCTGGCACGGGTACGGCAGCAGCGGGGACACTGCCCTTGGGGCTGCATGGAAAGAGATGAGGGAGAAAAGGGTGGTTGGGGGCAGTCGCTGTGCAGCATGCTCTGCATGGCAGGCAAATGTGCAGAGAGGTGTCTCCTGTCGATGTTCACAGCCTGTGGTGAAGGGACCAACCCCAGAAACCTGTGTGTTCATCCCCTCACTGACACATCCTGCATCTTACCTGCCCCAGCATCCTGGAGGGGATGGTGCTGGTCCCGGGCTTCACAGATCCACTCAGGGCAGCACTTCCCTGGCACCTCCACGCGCCGCGGGTAGGGGCAGTCCGGGGTGGGCAGGCGGACATCCTCCTGGCACAGCGGGATGCAGGTGAAGCCCCCATCCAGGCAGCGGCACTGGAGCTTGCAGCTGGGCTGGAAAACCTCCCCATCCCGATAGACCCGGCCGTTCACCTCGCAGCCCTCTTCGATGTCTTCAACTGCAAGTGACACCCAGGGAGCCCGTTAGGGACAAAGAGGCAGAGATGTAGGTGGCAGAGGGGACTGCTGCGGGGAACTGTGGGGATTGAAGTGGGGGGCTCACAGAAATGACTGAGGGGTTATGTGGGGCAGAGATGGGTTTACATGAGCATCTGCATCGCCCAGCCTCCTCCCCTTCCCTACCTCCTCTCCTCATCTCTCTTTTTTTCAAGCAAAAAGCTCACCAGTTGTTAAGAAACCCACTGCCCTTTGGCTCTGACCCTGCCTTTCAGGGCTTTCAGGCTCGGAAACGTTTCCCTCCGGCTTCTCTGCAGGACCCCCAGGCTCCATACCCAGCAGTGACTGCAGCAACCCTGGACCCCCATACCCATCCCCGCTCAAACACCCTGCATCCCCAGTCAGCAAACAGCACCAGAGCTGGAGCTGCAGCACAGCCCTGCGGCCGCGCTGCATGAATCATCCTCGCCAGAGCTGCTTCCCTGAAAGCTGCGGGATGTGTGGGGCCATGGCTGGAACTGGGGGTGCAGCGGCCACCCCTGTGCTCACAGTTGCAGGTGGCTCTCCCCATGGGTGCTGCGCTGTAGTCACACACGAGGCCCTGGCTCTGGTCGCAGACGTGCAGGAAGTCGCAGGGCTCTCCCAGGCGCCGGGCGCAGATCTTGCAGCAGCCGCAGCCATCCAGGACCAGGGGGGACCCGCGGGGGCAGCGGGGGGGCACCCAGGGGCAGTAGCAAGGTCTCCGGCACAGCTGGGCACACACCTGCAGAGAGAGGCAAAGCCGTCGCTGGTTCCGTACAGGCTGGGTTTGGCCGTTTCACTGGCACAGACACACAACCTCTCACTCATGGGGGCAGGCTTTTGGTGGGGGGAGAATCTGCACATCCATGGGAATACAGCAAAGCAGCCTTGAGAGCTGCTGTTCCCTTAGGGCACAATGTACCCTAAGGAAAACTAGGGAGAATCAGGGATTCTCAGCGCTCTGCAGGATGGGGACTGAAACGCACCACTGCTCTGAGTACAGAAAAGGAGATGGAGTTACAAAGCCAACATCACAGGTAGTGGGGGTTATTTGACATATTTAGCAGGGCTGGCAGCCCCAAGCAGACCAGCAGGACTGAGGGAGGAAGGTGGGGAAGGCATCCTGGCTCCGAGGCAGCAGGTTGTACCCAGCTGGAGATGTGGCTTTGCAGGGGCCGAATGCACATGGCAAGGTCATGGCACCTCACCCTGAATAGTCTTAACAGCCCTCATGCATGCCAAGGAACAGGGCATTGCATTGGCAGTGGAGGAACCTCGCTGCTTTCCTTCCTGCTCCAGCTGCCTCCTCTGCCTGTCCCTGCCTCCAGCATCCTCTGCCTGGCCTGGCCTGCTGGGAAACAAGCCCTGCGATAGGCACAAGGAATTACATTTCCCCTCCTAGCTAGACCGAGTAATCCCTTTGGCAGGGATGTGCACGGCAGCCGTTTGCCTGCTCAGTGACTGTTTGCCAGGGATGTTCCTGCAGGAGATCCCCCAGGCAGGTGGGTGTTTATATCCATGGCCTGAACAATTACCCTGGCACCAACAGCTTTTGCAGGCAGCACTTATGCTCCTGTCATGTCGCATCTGACAGGGCTGTTGCATACAGAGCCTGAAGCCAAGTGAGTTGGCTCTGCAGTTTGGATGTGGCTTCTTTGCCAGCTGTGAGCTGCATGCTGCAGCTCTGATCCACCCTCCAGCAGCCCTGCTGCTCCACTGCATGGCCAGCACATGCTCAGCCAATGTGCAACCAAAGCATTCATCCCTATGCTGGGCCAGGTACTGTTGCGTGCACTGAGACCTCCAAGAGATGGATGGGTTCAGCTGGACCATGTTGCTTTAGATACCATTTTTCTTTCTCTTTTTGTTTCTCCCAGTAGCATCAGGTCTGCCACAACCAGTTAGAGAAGGTAGGCACTGGTGTGCTCTCTGTTCCCCATTTGCAGCAGTTCAGATGGTTTTGTATGGGGCTGTACAAATGTCAATGCCAGCAGCTGGAGATTAAATATATATAGAATGGGCTGAGCAATCTGGGTCTTGTTCTGGCTCTCTCAATGAGCAGCATTATTAGTGTGGCAGAAACCAGAGAGTGACTTGTGGCTTGAAGCACTGGCTGCGGTGGCCAGGTTTGGGCTGGAGAATGAGGGCCTTTGGTGATTCTACAGACACTCAGGAGTGCCTGGGGCAGGACTCATTCCTCCCTCACAGCTTACCCAGGCAGCCAAGGGCATTTTTCATCTTTCAGGAGGCTGCTATTACAAATCAATGTTTTAGAAAGCTTAGCCAAGCCATTAATCCATTTCCCCTTGCTCCTTGTAATTAACTTGTCTTTAGATGACAATGTGGTTCCTAACAGAGATCTTAAATGCCTGGGAAAGGAGTCAAGCAGGCACGATGCTGCCACAATGTCCCTGCTTGCAGAAGGTCTGCTTTGGGATTCGAGCAGCAATTACAACTTGGAGCTGAGATACCCCACGCTTTTCAACATTCCTGTTCTCTGCACAGGCAGCTGTGTTCACACAGAATCCAAGGGAAAAAAGGAATCACTGCAATAACTCAAATCCTGTCAGAGGCATTGGCTTTGCATGAGCATCCCGGGCAGGGGGAGAGATGTGTAATGCTGAGGCCGGTGCCTGGGGCTTGGCCTCCTGCCCTGGGAGACGAAGGAATCTTCAGGAGCTGCTGCTGCGGAGCTGGGGCTCGCTCGCAGGGACACATACCACAGCCCCAGAGCTGCGGGGCCAGGCGAGCAAACAGCACATTGCTGACATTCCTGTGTGCTCCCTGGCCTTGCCCAACAGACGCCTTTGGCCCATGAATGCTGAGACCCTGCTGCTTCATCGCAAATGTCTCTCCCAAGCATAGCTCTGTCCCAGTGGGACTGTATCAATACAGCCTGCCTGCAGCCAGCGTTAGGCACCGGGCTCCTTGCAACGCCCCAGTACTCCCTGCATCTCACTTCGCAAGAACCGGGTCCTTCCCCGAGTAAGGCTAAAGCGGCCCCAGGGCCCCGTCTCCCTTACCTTGGAGAGGATGCAGAGGAGGGAGAGGAAGAGGAGCTGCTTCTCCAGCTGGAGCCTCATGCTGCTCTCCCCTCTGCCACTGCAGCACATCACCCCCCAGGCAGTTTGGAGGCAGCGGCGTGTTCGCAGGTTTTAAAGCCCCGAGTAGGTCCTGCTGGTGTTTATACTCTCCCCGCTCTGATGTCACTCACAGGCTCCAGTATAAACATCAGTAGGTTTGGACAAGCCTCAAGATTCTCTTCTTTTTTTTTTCTCTTTTTTTTTTCCAGCCCACATTCCAGCTGCCATTTCCACTCCCCTCAAGGTGAGAACGTGCTGTCCACCCAGGCAGGGAGGGAAGGGATGGGATACTCTCCCCAGGGAGCACGGGAGAGGGCTGGGGGGTGAACCAGCTCCTTGCTGTTCCTTGCAACCAGGAGGGAAACTCCACGCATCCTTCTACTGAGCAGGGTCTGCGCAGGCAGAGCTGGGGTCTCCCTTCTGGGCTTGAAGGGTTTGGCAGGGCTGTCCCATGGATCATTCCCAAGCAGGAACAGAGCACCCACCCTGTATTTTGGGCTGAGCCTAATGCATGGCAGGCTGTGGGAGAGGGCTGAGCTGGCCCTGAAGTCAAGGGCAGGATCCTGTCCCTCCATCACTGAGGACAGTGTATGACCGGAGCAGGCTGCAGCAGTTTTCCAGGCAAGCTCTCCAGGCAGTAGAGATTTGCTTCCCTCTCTGTTTCTCTGCCACAGCCAAAGCTGGACAGGGATTTGCTGTGGTGGTGCTGCTGCCACAGCATCCCTGTCCTGTGTGGGGCTGTGGCTGCCCGGGAGCCTGCAGGGGCAGAAGGCTGTTAGGTTTCACGGTGTACCCTGTTTACATGGTGCAGGGGGCTGCAGTCTGGCCCTGGTGACTTTAACCCTTGCAACCCCAAATTCAGCTCCTGAAAATCATGTCTGTCTTAAGCAACATGAGAATTTAAAATCCAAGCGTGGGGAAGAGAAGTGGGTGCTCAGCAGTTGCCTCCCAATGCTTTACCCCTTGTCAGTCTGCCCTGTATGAGGTTTCCCTTTGGCCACTGTGTCTGGGGGATGCAAGGCTGGCTCTTAGGAGAGGAAAACATCCCAAGGCCTTCGGGGAACTGAGCCCTTCTCCATGTTTTCACCCCTCTGATCTTATCATAACATGTAAGGGGAATTTGTGAGTCCAGAGCCCAAAGGAAAGGCCTGAGCTCACACAGGGATGCAGGATGCCCTGCAGCTCTCCTGGCTCCTCTCCTGTCCTCAGCTCTGACTCTTGCTATAGCCTGGAAGCCAGGGCAGGGCAGAGCCCGGCACGGAGGAGCGCACAGCCAGAGCTCTCCTGTTACCACCCGGATGCTCTGCTTTGGTTTTGCTTCGTTAGCTGCCACTGGTCTGTTAAGGAGGTCATGGCAGCTTGTGGAAATACCAGGCCACCTTCCAAAGGCGGCTGTCATCCGTGCGCGGCTCCTCGTGTTGGAGCTCCAGTTCCCTGCATCACCCAAGCCATGCCTGGAGGTCCAGGGATCTGCCCTGGCATCCCTGTGTGCTGCAGGGGAGGTGTGAGGAGCACACAACAAGCCAGAAGGTTCCATAGCAAAGGCTGGAGCCACATCCTGTGGCGTTGCTTTCTCCTGCGCTCCAGGAGCTGGTGCCCTCCCTCTGGCTACCACGTTTCAGGTGCTGCAGCTGAGCCAGACCCCCTGGAGGAGGCTGCAGTGCCTCTATCAGCCCAAGCACTGATGCAGCCTTGCCACAGGGGCACAGGGAGCTCAATTAATTATTCCAGGCTTGTGTTTGTTAGGGACTCCTGATGAACGGGAATGACTTCCTTCCCCAGTTAGAAATCAGGTGACAAGTGCTGGTAAGGGAAATAAAACCCTCTTGTTGCCCACAGTGAGCATCTCTGGGAGCAGCCAACAGCTCCACGTGTGAGGCTTTGGGGGTCAGTGGGACACCCCAGGGGGGCTGGGGCTCAGGGCTACCCAGGGAAGCCCACTGGCCATTAACCCCCTGCCTGCCCTCTCTGGGGTACAGGTTTGGCTCTTTGGGGGAGGAACCCCTTATTAATCCCCTCCCTCAGCTTGGGATAAGAGGGGACATTAATTTACCACCACTACCACCACCTGATGTCACTGAGATCTTGCTGCGGTAAGTTGACATCACTGTGATGGTGTGACATCACTGTGATGGTATGACATCACCAGGAAGCCAGCAGTCAGCTGCAGCACCAAGTCAAACAGCCAGACAGGGGCCAAACCCACCATCCCATACCTAGCCACCTCCCATACTTCAGCTGCCATTGGCAGTCCCCAGTGGTACCTCGCTGGGTTTTGGGGATGCCCATAGGACCTGGCTGGAGGGATACCCACAAAGTCTGCCTGCCTCTGCCTTCCCCAGGAGGCTTTTCTGTGGGTGATATGGGCTTGAATTCCCTTTTCATGGCTCTCCAGGTCTCAGATGCATGCCCAAGTCGCTGTTCTGGGGCTGCAGGCGAGGCCTGGCAGAGCAATACAGCCCTTGCACAGGTTTTGATTTGCAAAGCTGCATTAGAGCAGCACGTTAGCAGTTCATTTTATAGATAGTCAGTTATAACCCTTCTCCTCTGGAGCATGTAGCCCATATGTGTTCTGCACCATACGTGTGATTTCATAGCTAGTAATTAAGTCCATATGTTGTGCTCCTCAGTTTCCATGGTATTATCCTCAGGTTTTTTTAGGGGTTGTAATATTTGTTTTTTGTGGTGAGTTGTGCAAGAAAATAGTTGATACAGGGATCTGAATACATCTCCTTTGAGTTAGCCGCTGGCGAGCTCTGCTGTTTCTATAGAAATGAAGGAACTGACCCAGTGAATTTACATTTTAGACAGCTGGGTTTTTTCATGTCTGTGCCATTTAACATGCCATCATGAATAACACTGCAAAGCCCTCATCTGAGCACCCTGCTCAGCTGAAATTGCATCCATCTGTGATGGATATAGACTATATTCTCCCTTGATCCCTTTCCTTTGCTCAGGATGCTCTCCTTCTTTACACTGTGTGTTGGACACCCTCGAGAGAACTGGCTGAAGGCAGACCTAGATCTGGACATCCATCTCTGTTAGGGAGCACCTAGGCTGTCCTGGGTCCTTGCTCTTTATCTTCATATCCACAGTGAAATCATGGGTCGAGGGTGATCCCAGCTCCATAGCTCAGTGGGAAGGATGTTCCCTTTGCTTCTGAGCACTCCTGGCTCAAATCCCTGCTGCAGGGGAGCAGAGCTGCCTATGGAGGGTGAGCAGCACTGGTGGGAAAGCTGGACAGACACCCAGCTTGGAAAAGCCAAGAGCCCTGAGCTGAAAAGGAGACGTTTCAGGTCTCCCTCGGCCGTCGGACACTTTGGGTGGTTGCTGGCTGTTGTTCCTGAGACTTCTGGAAACACCCCGGCTTTGGGAAACTTTGAAATACCTTTGTTTTTGGCAGGATGAGAAAGTTGTTTCCTACCCAGAATGTATCCAGCTCCAGTTTCAAACAGCAAGAGCCGAGAGAGGTGATGATGGCCATTTCCATCCCTGTCTGGCTGGTTTTATTCCCTCTGGTTCTCACACCTTAACTGGAGAGTGGAGCTGGGCTGGGAGGACTGACCACCCCAAGGGACAAGGGATGGGCCAGGCAGTCTTCTACCTTGAGGTCACTGCTTCCACCCTAGACCCGGGCTAGGAGAGCCTGAAAGTATTTACCATCTGGTGCCTGGCCAAGTGACTTGTGAGAAAAGAATTCAGGGCTGCCATCCAGATTGTGATGGTCGGGCAACTACATCAGGAAACCTCGGCTCCATCTGGGACCAGCTGACCCCGCCGAGCTCCAGCCACTGCAGCGAGCCCTCTCCAAAGGAGAAAGGGTCTTTGGGATGGGGAGCAGTGCATGGTGCTTGATCCTTCACCATTTCCCAGGCATTTTGAATTAGGTTTTGTTAGAAAGAAGCACTGATAAATGGGGCTCGGTTCTGGTCTCAGAGTTTGACATTGCCAAGAGGAAGGAGCTGAGTGATTACACGGGAGCAAAAGGACAAGAAAAGGCTGGCTTAGCCAAAAGTGTAGTGAGATCTCCTCATTCAGACTGAGGGGCTCCTCATTAGTACAGCCCAGCCTGTACCAGCTGTTGTGAAAAGATGATGCTGTTCTTAATAGACATCATCAAACAGCAATCCTGGGGGGGGGGGGGGTGTGTATTTTGCTGCAGTCCAGACAAGAGCAATTCATAATTGTCCCCCTAAGTTAAACATTCAGATAACCAGAGAGTAAGACTTCCATAAAACAAAGCCTGGAAACTTCAGCCAGACGAGTCTTTCCGTTGTTATTTGGAAAACAGTGTCAGAAATCCTCATGTATCAAACATGATGATCCTCTGAGAGTTTATTTTGGTATCAAACATCACCAAACATAAGATCCTTTTAAAAAATCTCACTACAAGTTTTGTCTTACAGACAAGATGCAAACCCCAGATCCTGACCCTGCGTAGTTCCTGACAGGCCCGTGGTATTTTCCATGGAGCTGCACGGCTAACTCATGTTTCCTCATCGGATTGCTCATTCTTTTGACTATCTCTGTTTTTCTTGTGGTTTCAGGCTAAAATAGATGTGTTTTTCCTTCGGTTCTTGTCTTCCTCGAGCGTGCTGTGTGTTCTGAAGTAGCTGCCATGTCCCTTGCAGCTTCAAACAGGTTTCAAATTGAGGCTTCCACTAAGGTGATGATGTTGTTAGGTCTCACCAAACTCACCTTGTAATTGCAGCCAGCTTTGCTTTGGGAAGGCAGAGGTTAGGTGATGTCTGTGTTTCCTTCCAGCCCTGTTTCCTGTGACTCTGTGAAGACCTTTGAGCATGCAAGTGCTGCACCCCTGCAGTGGTGAGTGTTGTGCCTGGGAGTGAGTGGTGCTGGATGAGGTTTGGGTGACACGAGCTGTGTCTGTTCCCAAATGTCACAGCCCTTCGCATCCCCAGGGCCTTGGCTTGCCATCAGCAGGAGCGCTTTGACCCAGAGGGGGTCAGGGCACTGGTGGATCCAGGGAAAGGAGGATGATGATGTTGGGACAGGATGGTGCTGGGAAGGGGACAGTGACCTGGGGCAAAGATAGCCCTCCTCAGCTGGTGTATCTCCAGTGGTTGCTCTGCAGACTCCTGGTTGTTACTGGAACCTCCCCATAGACTTTGTGCAGCCATTTTTAGCATCCTTGTTGGTTGGAAGGAGCCTGTCTTGTGCAAGGTCTGAGCAGGACTGAAGCCAGTCCACCCATCTTGTACCAGTGCTTCTTCCACACCCAGCACTTAAACCACCTAAATGACTGCTCAGCAC